CCTTACAAAACCCCTGGGCTAGGTCACTGCCAGCTAGCCCGTTGCATATAGATATATACATTATAAGGGGTCAAGATGGGCAGCAGGGGTTAAATGGATTTCTAAAGAGCTTGGGAGACGCACATGCAGCTTCTCATGTCCCTGAAAGTAGATGGGCTGTCTAGCACAACAAGGCCAACAAGGACACAGAGCCTGGGAGCCAAAGGAAGTATGTACCATACTGTCCCATAACACAAGATAAGTGACACCAGCAACAAGGCCTCAGAGAGCAGGAGAGCCTAAGTCCCATTTTTTCCCGACCAAATTAGGAAAAGGCCCGGAAGGCTGCGTGAACGTATGACCACACAGAGGAGCCAACCAAAGATAGCCATGAATGAAGAGTCATCAGGAGTCATTAAGGGGGAAGGAGAATACAAAAGCAGAGACTTGAGATTAATAAAGGGTCTTTCTTGTCCGCCCTGTGCCTCCTTTTGTCCCTCCCATCCCTCCCTTTGTCCCATCCCTCCTTGCTTTGCTCCTTGAGAGGGGTCCCTATCCCCATCCCTGTCCCCCGGGAGTCCCTGAAGTCCCCATGGACCGAGGGCATACCGACAGCCCATCTCATTCACCCCATTGGAGGGGGGCTGTGGGCCTTGGCATCCCACCTCCAGACTGTTGACACCTAAGAAACAGCCTCAAAGTGGAGCCTGCATCTTGACCAGATGCACTTTGATGACACCCCTAGGATTGGTAGATATAGAATTGTTTGTATTGTTTTTTTGTTCTTACTCCGTATCAGTAAATTCCCGTATTGTTGACTGGCAGGGGGGGTGGTCGGTCTGAGGGTTGTGCCCACCCGGAACAAAGGTATAGGTGCTGGGTCCAAATCCTGTGTCAACAGCAGCTGTGCCTGCAGTGTGGGGCTGTTTGTGAGTGGGTGTCAGGGTGGGAAATTCACTAGAACTGCAAAGCTTTGCCTTAGGTGTTTGCTAGAGCCTACTCAGCAGCATCTGGTTATAATGTGGGCGTAGGCCACTGTCCTGACCTGGTCAAATGATCTATAGGTGTTAACTAGTTGGTGGTGGAGCCCACATTCTTCATAAAACACTTTATTTACCTTTTGGGAAATATTTTTAGCCACCCGATGTAGGTGTTGACGAACTAGGCGAGGCCCTTCCTCATGCTTCTGGAGTAACATCTAAAACAAACAGGCAAGAGTCTGCTGATTGCCATGAGGGGGGAATTATGAGTTGTAATTACAGTTTTTATGGCCAGAGTTATTGATTCTTGACAGATTGGCTCCAGTTGCATGGCGTAGATATATAGGAGCACTCATACTCCTTGCCCACCTTGGGGATCTTGAAGAAGTTGCTACTGCTGATCATCATAAAACAGGTAAAAGTGATATTAAACACATGGCTATAGTGCAAATCCAGAGGCTGGCTGGGTCCTTCACAGGGGCTCAGCAAGTGCATCTAGCTGAAGTCCATGACTACTTGGTCTCTCTGAAGGTTTTCTCCTACTTTGGTTCATGAAAGTCTGGCTGAGTCTCATTTGTTGTGGGCATTGGTTTTTAGGCCAGTCCTTTGGACTCGCAATGAAGGAATTTGCAGCTGTGCTTTAAACTTTCTTCCTTTGTTTAAATGGCCACCTCTGGAAGGACCCCAGTGATCTTTATGCCCCTTGGAAGCTGGCAGAAAATAAATACTGTCCTTCCAAGTATCCCTCTAAGAGCTGAGCTTCTCTCTTCTGAATCCCAGCCAGCCAAAGTGGACTAGTGCCAGTCAGCATGGCTTAGTCTGTGGCTATGGGAAGCCTCCAATGGAGAACCAGAGCTAGATACCCAGTGCCACTGAATGTCACTGGAAACGCTGCTGAATGTGCTTAGGGAGAATGTCAGAGTTGCCTCGTAATACATAGGAGAAATCAGAGCTGGAAACTGTCCCAGGTAGGAGGGGAAGGAGGAGGTTGGGGAATGGCTTCCAGGCTGGGGAAGCGGCAGGACAGGGGGGGAAGCTGAGATTGGGAGAAAGTGGCAAGAGGGGGCACTGTTAAGATTTGTAGAGGAGCAGAGCAGTGGGATGAGAGCAGAGATGCAGTCAGGTGCAATGTGGGATGGCTTTGAGGGGTGGAGATGATTTTCCAACCTATCAAGATAGCAGTCAGTTCTAGCTCTCCACTCTTTTGATGCTATTTCTTTAAGGAGACAGCCCCATTTAGACCTGATAAATGTTATTAGAGCTGTGAGGTGGGCTCACAGCAAGAGTGACCTTTTCTTCACGTATTCACAAGAGGAGAAGCCTCTAGCCCTACAGGTCCTGAGAGAAGGCAAAACACTGCACTGACAAAAGAGCTTACAGGCGTCTGTCTTCACTGACACAACTGCAAGATGATAGTCATGGTGGCACCTATGTGTAAGGTGCCCAGGGTCTAATTCTGGGGTAGCAGAGAGAGCTCCATGCCCAGAAGAAGCTAAAACATTTGTCTCACCTTTAATCTGTTCTTCAACTACATGATGCAAATGGTGTTCCCAGGGAGGGGGGTATTGTGCCTTCTGTATAATAGATTGCCAGCTCCAGGTCGTTTCCACCCCAGCAAAGGCCTCAGAGCCTTTAATGATGACTTCCCGTTGGCTTTTCCAGGAAGCAGTTGGGAAGAAGGATGTTGCTGTTAGAAACAGTTGCGCTTCTGCTGCTGCTGAGCTGCCCAGGCCCTGGGAAACTCACTGGTGAGTCTCTTTTCTTGGCTAGGCTTGGGCATGAGGTTGAGTTCCCTTTCATTGCTTTTTCCCTCATGCTCCCATCAGTCCTGTTGGCAGGTAGTTGGGTCTAGTGGTGAAAGAATGAACCTGGGATACGGGAGACCTGGGCTCTATTCCTGGCTCTGCCAATGGCCTCCTGTGTGACCTTGATTAAGTCACATTGCCATTCTGTGCCCCAGTGTTCCCCTTGTAAAGACCCCTGTGATTCAAGGACTGTACTGGGTGCTGCCTCAGGGAATGCACTTTGCTTGCAACCAGAACTAACGAATCTGCATCCTCACCCAGCGAGTGGGCATGCTTCAGTATCTGCACATCAGTATCAGCCTTCCTGGGCCATTCTCCTGGGGTTTAAGCTTCAGGCCTTGAGCCCCAGGTACATGAGCTATAGGCCTGCAGAACTGGTTTTTCAAACATCACTCTTGATCTCCCCTAACTGATGTACTAGGAAGAAATGCAGCAGGAGACACATCTCCCCTTGGCAAATGCCTCATGACTTGTGCCAGCGGGTAAACAAGGGACAGTGCATGTCATTTCAAGAATTTCCCAATACCCCAAAATTCAGGGAGGACACCGGTCCCAACCTGTGTGGAGGAGGCTTCAATCAGCTTTGGGCTGGGGGGTTGAGAATGGTATCCCTGGCTGCCATCATCCCACTTGTAGAAAGTGTCTCGGTTGGCATACTGTGCTCCATTGTCCATGAGGAGGTGCTTGGGATCTGATGTCTTGGGTATGGAAGAGGAGACTCCTACCAGTGACTCATGCTGTGCATGTTAGTCAAATGCCAGATGGTAATAACCAGGAATCCTATCTTTTCTGCTTAAAAATCACAAATTCTCTGATTTAACCCCCCCCCCCGATTATCTGATTTAAAAAACCCCCTCAAATCCATGTTTTCCCACAATTAAAATGAAACACCATTATATATAGGTATCAGTTGAACACAATGTTTTATTGATATATTTACAATTTTAAAGTAACCTGAAAGCCTACTGGTACCTCAATCACTATAATATAATAAATTCTAAATGTCGATACATTTTGGTGTTTGATTTTGGGTTTTTTATCATGAAAAATCAGAGTTCTCCCTGCCCCCTTCACTCACCAGGATGCTGGTCCAGCTGCAGTTGTCCCCCCTACAGCTTTGTGGCTCTAAGCAGCCTTGATATGCCGGTGTGCTGCCCCTGCCCATGCAGTGCACCTCACTCCCCACCCACAGCCCCCCCGGCCCTGCTGGTACCCCTCACTCCCGACCCACAGCCTCCTGGTCCTGCTCGTGCCACTCACTCCCCAACCACAACCTCCCATCCTACCAGCCCTGCTGGAGGGGGCCCCAGCTGCTAGTGCTATGGGGCTGGGGACCCAGGTCCACAGCTCCCTGCTCCCCCCAGCAGTGCCTGAGTCCTGGTGGCTGCCTGTGGGAGGTGGCGGCTGCTGTAGCCGGAGCAGAGCCTGGAGCCCAGCTCCCCATCCCCCACAGGCTGCACAGCTGGAGTGGAGCCCATGGGGTGGGGGCAGATGCAGGCTGCCCGCTATGAGCTTGGGGCTCCCTGCCCTGCTGCCCTCCCCACTGGGGGCTTCTGCGGCCCAATGGGTGGGACCCAGCACAGCAGGACACAGTGGGGCAGGGAGGCTCAGTGCCACTGCCAGGATCCCTGTGCTGCCATAGTGAGGTACTCCTTGCTTGCCAGGCAGCAGCTTGGGGCACAGCTCCATGCCACCACCTTTGCTGTTGCAAAGTGGGCAGGGCATGCCTCACCACAGCAGTGTGGGACTTCTGGCAGCAGCCCGAGGCTCCCTGCCCTGCTCAGCCCTGCTGTGCCGGGTCCTGCCCCAGGAGAGGGCAGCAGGGCAGGGAGCCCATATCCACCTCTGCCCTGTGCACAAATATGGGGGACACGTGCCCCTCTGGGACTGCGCGCAGCAGAGGGGAGCCAGCCTCTCCACTGCCCCCTGGATGACCCGCCCGTGGCTCCATCCCGCTCCCCGCCCAGATTCTGCAGCCATGCATTGCGGCCCTGGGCCCAAGCTCCAGGCCCCATGCACTGCCAAGCTGGATAGCAGCCTCAGCCCTGCCCAACTCCCTCCCTCACTGTGGGGCCCTCAGTACCCAACCCTCCAACTTACCTGTGGGGGAGCTACAGGAGCTGCTGTCCAGGCTGCCTGGCCACCACGTGCATGCCCACATACCCATGGCACCCCCTGCCTGATCACCCTCTCCTGCTCCCCCCAGTCCCTTGCCAGTCTGCAAGGGTAAACCTGCCATTTCCTGCATTTTTCTCCTTAAAAAGAGAAAATGTAGATTTTTCTGTGGTTTTCCATGGCAAATGGAAAACCCAGATACCTGGTGATAACTAGCTCCCTGAATGCACTGAGAGCTATAATGGGTTCAGCAGTCCCCCGACACCCATGCACCAGACAAGCTTCACAGATTGGTCCATGCCAGTGCTGCATGCCAGACTGATCTGGGTTACCTGAGCCTAGCTGTGAGAGGCCTTGCTGAAGCCATCAAGGCCTCTCTTTAAACTCCAGCTTAGGAAGTTGCAGGAAGCTCTATAATATTCAGGCCGTGTCCCCACAAGAGGTGTGATCGCCCTCAAACCTGTTGAATGTGGGAGAAAGAGAACCTCAGTTTTTATTTGGCAAGCTGAGCCTCCAAATGCTGATATTGCGTTGGCTGTGGAAGCTGGAGCCATGGTCTGGGAGCATGCAGAGGAAATAGTCACATGAAAGCACTTGAACTGTCCAGTTACTAATGCATGCATGCATCATGGGGATGAAGAGGGCCCTGATGCTGTGTGGACAAGGTCTGCTTGCAGCCCCAGGGGTGGATTCTAGGATGAGGCAAGGGATGTGAACATGTAAGGGCACAGCTCCCACAGTGCTGCCCTTCAGATAGCAGCAGGTGAAGGCATGGCACAGGCAGTGTGGTGTAGGGCAGAAAAGTCCTTCCTTTGGACCCATGTATTGCCCTCCAGCACTCAACCCCACTGCTCCATCTTAGGGTAGGATGTGGTCTTCTCAGTGTGTTGCACCACATGGGGAAGCTCTGAAGGAGGAAAAGATACCTTTTACTGAGATGCTGCCTCTGCAACTGCTTTGAATGTGACCTTGTATATAAGTAAATTCAGGTTGGGCCCCTCCTGCAGAAAAACAAGCAGCAGGTTGGATGGGGAGGCACGAGTTGACTCAAAACAGGAGTATCAAGAACCTGGGTTAATGTTAGAATATGTAGAGAACTGCCCCAACCTTAGAGTTAATAAACTACTCAGTTGTCAAACAAATTAAACCTTTCTTGGAATGGGAACTGTCCAGAAGGCACAGACTGCTTGAGATACTGGTTTGGTACAGTTGGGGCATTGCATTTGTGGTCACTATAAAAGCTGTAAGAAATTGCTGCAACTCATTGGTTATTGCACATTTGCAAGGTGCTTGTTGCTGGAAAGCTCAGGCAATATTACATTCTCCCCACAAAAAAGAAACCACCACTGTCTTTTCATGGCGGTGTTCAAACTGCTCCTCCCTCCTTTGTGCTTCCAAGCAGATTGTCCTGGGATAAAGTGTATTACCCCAGTTTCCCCACAGGGCATGTTGTGGAGGTCTCTGCCATCAGCTGCTCAGGGAGTGTAGCCCACTAGAGGCTAATCCTGCTTGGTAGTTTGGAGGTTGTGAAGCCTGCTTTTTCTCCCTTCTGGCACGTGTTAACTCTTCAGCTTTGTCACCACTTCACATTGGCTGGGTCCTCTGCATTGTTGTGCTCCTGAAGGGCATGCTTGCTGTGAAGAAGGGGAAGGAGAGTTGAGGTTTTAGTCAGAGTTGAGTTTTAGTCTTGACTTATTTTGAAGACAAAGATCCAGAATCTTACTCTCTCCACAGGCCTGCTGTGGAGCAGTAGATAGACCGGCTCTGTTAAGTAAGCAGACTGTAACTTCTTGAGTCATCCACTCTTTATGGATGTGTCAGTAGGCTCCGTCTTCTTCCCAGTTACATTAGGAGGTGTTTCTAGCCACCGCTGCAGCACAAGCATTCACCTGTACTGGAAAAAAACTACAAGGGTTGTCTTGTTTTGCTTGTATTTGGGGGAGCTGGGGGAAAATGGTCTCAGCTGCTGAGACTGTTGAGAGGGAGGCAAGTTCCTGCAGTGCCTCTTGACGGTATGTAAACATGGAGCAAGGCCATGGGTATGCTCAGAGGGCTTCCAGTCAAGCTGAGGTTGATAGCTGCAGGTTAATTTTGCAGTACAAGGCACAAATGGTGGCAAGGTGTAGTATAGGTAACCTGATGTTTCTGTTTTTGAATGCAGAGCTATTCAGCTGCCTTCCTGGATGGTAATACTCCAAAACCAGCTGCTTCAGGTACTTCCAGAGTCAGCAGAGCTGGGCAGATGCTGAGGTAAGAATCTTCTATCCAAGAGCAGTTGCTCCAAGGCTAGGGACTCAGTCCCTCTGACTGTCCTGTTCTTAGTCAACCCAAAGAGTGTCCCAGTTTAGTGATATTCCATTTAAGTGTGTCTGTTTGATAACCTGGAACAGCCCTGTCTCCAAGGACACCAGTGTGCTTACAACATGGTCCAGGGAGGTGATGCTTCCCCTCTATGTGGCACTGGTCAGGCCGCAGTTGGAGTACAGCATCCAGTTTTGGGCACCGCACTTCAAGAGGGATGTGGAGAATCTTGACAGGGTTCAGAGGAGGCCGCTCGTATGGTCAGAGGCCTGCAGGCAAGGCCCTACGAGGAGAGCCTGAGGGATCTAGATCTCTTCAGTCTTCGCAAGAGAAGGCTGAGAGGTGATCTTGTGGCTGCCTATAAATTAAGTAGGGGAGGGCATCAGGGAATAGGATCTCCTGATGCTCTGTTTACTAGGGCACTCCCTGGCTACAAATTGGCAGAGAGCAGATTTAGGTTGGACGTTAGAAAGAACTTCTTTGGTAAGGGTTGCCAGAATCTGGAATGGGCTTCCAAGGGAGGTGGTGCTCTCCCCTACCTTGGGGGTCTTCAAGCAGAGGCTGGACAGGCACCTAGCTGGGGTTGTCTGACCCCAGCGCTCTTTCCTGCCCAGGGCAGGGGGTTGGACTTGATGACCTACTGAGGTCCCTTCAGACCCTAACATCTATGAATGTATGGCACCCATCTACATGGCTCTGGGCCATCCTGGGTGGATATGGGGGGGAAAGAGGGAGTGGCAAAAATCTAGCTAACTTTAAAGGTGTAGCTTGATTGGTTTATGAAAGAGTTTCTACAAGGTTGTTGCTTTCAATAGCAGGTGACTAGACACAGAGGCCTGAGCAGATTAAATTCTTCCCTTTCAAAATGGCTGCCATGTACCATTATTCACAATAAGCTTCCTGCCACAGGCTGCTCTAAGATGCCATCTTTCAAAATTGCCATTGTCTGGATGTCATTAAAGCAAGTCAGATATACTCCTAAAGAGTTTGCATATGCTTTTCAGTGGCCATCAGGTTCTCAGTCCTACCTCTCTTCATCCCATTCCATGTGCCTCTCTAAGCCAAGATCCCAAGCTCCTGGGAACAGGGACTGTTGTGTCTATAGACAACCGTCATGAGTGGGACTCAGTGTCTGTGGTCTACTCTTCTGCCCTGGAACATCTCGTGGGAGGATCACTCAGCAAAATCTGAGCGGTCGCAAAGCTTCCTCTTGTGCATGGATGACCTCTACCTGACTCAAGAAGTCTATGGGCCAATGAGAGGTAAAGTGCTGCTTGACCTGGTACTGGCTACTGGGGGTGACCTAATCGGCGACCTAGTGATCGATGGGAAGCTGGGTGACAGCGACCACCAGCTGATCACCTTCACCATCTGCCACAAAGCTGGCAAGTCAGTCAGCAACACTGAAGTCCTTGACTTCAGGAAAGCTAACTTTGACAAGCTCAGGAGGCTTGTCAGTGAGGCCCTAAGGGACCACAACCCTAGGGGGACGGGAGTTCAGGAAGAGTGTCTGCTCCTCAAGCGAGAAATCCTCAATGCACAAGATAAGTCTAGTCCATCTCGGAGGAAAGGCAGCAAGAGGGCACAGCAGTCCCCCCCTGGCTCTCCAGGGACCTAGCAGACCTCCTGAGGCTAAAAAGAAGGGCCTACAAAGGATGGAGGATGGGATTCACCTCCAAGGAGGAATATTCTGCACTGGTCTGGTCCTGCAGGGAGCAAACCAGGAA